TAACATCAAACATAATTTTTCATTTATGAGACTACTTCATTTACATTTCATCCCAAAAGCTCAGTGACCTTAGGATGCCTGTAATTATCTAAGTGCTCACTGCATTCTCTGTGAATAACACGCATACTGAGGAATTAATTATGGGGAATTGTAGCAAGACATTAGAAAGAACAAATCACCTGAGTTGATTGAACTGAGTTGTGGGGGAAGGTGGAAGAAATAGTTATACATACATTACAATGTATGTTAACAGGAAACATTCAGAAATATCTTCTAAATTTTACATCTATTCTTTGAAATTTCTATGAACACATAGTGAACAAGGCAGTCCTGGGAGTTCATCTTTAAAACCCATTAGAAGTACAGTACTCAAAGGGCAGCAATCATATCCTGGATAAGCAGAAGGCAGAGGATCCAATCATTCGCCTCTTGAAACATAGCTCACTGCCTATAAAAAAGTCAATTAGGGATAAAAGCTTCTTCAAGACTAGCTTTCAGAAAATGTCAAAGGGATCTAAAAAAGAGCTAAAAAGAAATACAGCATGTTTTTTAAAAAATATTCCTCAAAAACACTGATGCTAAAGGATAAATCATTTGTTCTTCACAACCTCTTCTGTCTGTAGGCCTTTAAGTATAGCTCTATGGGTCCCTAGGTCAACACAGATTTGCTTAGTGGAAAAAAGTCAGCTTACAAATAAAGCATTGGTTTTATTTTTAAAACTACAAGCTTCATTTAAGTGGAACTTGTAAGCTAAAGTAGTTTTCTAGATGCAGTTTAATTTAAGAGTTCAGCTTTTACATACATTTTACAAACAAGACTTGAAAAGTTAAATTTAGGTAGGATTATGAATCAAACACTTGCATTCCCAGAAGAGCTCTAAAGAAAGACATTTGCCAAGTTCCAACTCTATTTCCAAGAGCTCAACACAGATATATATCCATGCTAATCAAAGTTTTTTCTTGAGTTTAATTACCATGTTTGGGAAGTAATTTTGATCCACATTTTTGCCAAAAAGGGACAGAAGGGAGGGAAATAGCAGGAAGTGAAAAAATATTGTTGCCTTATTACTAAATGACCCTAACAAAAGGGTCTTCTCTAGGTACCACAAGTAATATTTGAAATCATCAACTTGGCATAGCAATTTGGCATAACAATTATTTATACAACATTTTGAACAAAGGGCTTGAATGCTGTCTTGATGAATCAGTGGAAGGTTGCTTTAGTCTGTAAAATGAGTTTCTTTTTACTGTATCTTAAAATGAGGTTAATGCAATAAAAATGTATTTCATATACATTGGGCACCTCCAATATATATGAAATGCCAGAAAGTATGAATTGCATAATGTTAATGGATGTGGTACAAACTTTATTTACCAACATTTGTATGCTACCTGCTCTTAAAACATGTCCAATTGTTGCCATCTTTAGCGTCCAAATGCAATGTTTATTTGCTAATTTGTATTTCAGTTTTCTGCCAGGAACTCAAGGGGGTATACAAGCCACTTCTTCCAATTTTTTCTCACAACCACCACCATCTGAGGTAGACCAGGGTAAGGGTAACTGGCCAAGTCACCCAGTGAGTTTCCATTGCTGAAGTGTACTTGAACCTGGATCTCACCAATCATAGTCCAACACTTTAATTACTACCCACATTTTAGACAGATTGGCTTATGAGTGAAAGACACATGCTCTGCTTAGCTATAGTTCCAATATTTGGGATCTATCAAGTTATCAAGAATTGTACACTTTTTGCATATGGTGCTAGCCGAAATAGTTACTGTACAACATTATATCTGCAGCAAGGACTATTGATAAGTGTTGCTTATCAACATTTGAATTAGGGGGTATTTTTGTACAAAAGGGTTGGGAAGAAAACTTCAGAGCAATTTATTCAAATGTTTGGAGTATTTTTTAATATAATTTTCATGGCTTTTTCATTAGTAGAAATAAGGAAAATGGGAGAACAAAGACTATTTGATATTCTTTATCACTTTTGATGATATACTTCTGAGACAGCCAAATATTTAGAGAGACAAATATTTGTGTTCTATGTGCAATGGTTTACCCTTGAAGAGGAATCCCAAGTGTACTTTGAGTACTGTGTCCAATTCTGGACATCATACGTTAAAAGGGATAGGGAAAAGCTGAAGCAGATTCTGTGTAGAGCTACCAGGCTGTAAAGGGGCCTGAAAGGTCAACGAGAAGCCATTAAAACAGCTGGGAAGATATGATACTGAATATAAATACACAGTACCTAAAAGGCTGCCACACTGAAGAGCTGTTCTCTGTTGAAAACAAGGACAAAATATTAATGGGGTGAAAATAAAAGAAGTGAGGTTCAGGCTGAATATTAGGTGGAATTTCCAGACAATAAAAGCAGGTAAATCTGCCAGGAACAGTGATAGTCTTTCCCACGTTGGAAGTTTTAGATAGGGGCTGTATGACTACCTCTCAGGGATAGTTTAGTACGTTCCTGCACTGGGCAGAGGATTGGACTAGATGACCTATAAAATTGCTTCCAATTCTATAACTGTAGCTCTAGGTAGAAAAAAGGTTGCTACCCTGATTTAATTAGATCAATGTATATCTGTTGCAAGAATATTACGTATATAAATGTGCTTATGTGACCCCTACAATTTTATTTCATGCAAATTCAAATTCTTACCTCAATGTATGTTAGGTACCTTAATCCCAGATAATTTCATTGTTCTTGGAATCAACTAACATACCATTTTTGCAACAGTTACAATAAATGATTTCAAGTTGTATGACTCCTTAAAAAAACTTGTAGTGTTTCTCCTCAGGCCCAATCGGTTCACAGAATATATCATAAAGCAGTAGTGGAAAGGAGTTAAGTGAGTCCTGGCTGGAGACCAGAACTTATTTGTATCTTAAAGATAAGGATTTTTATTTAAGAACTAGACATACTTTATAGACAACAAATACAAACCTATTTATGGATTACAATTCTAGCCAAAGAATAATAGGTTGTTCTCCATGTCTCCTTTTCCAATTCAAGTGCCACTGCAAATATGGAATTAATTAATCTAACCTTAATGCGCCATGGTAAAGATCACTGCACTGTATTTAAGGCCTAAAAAGGTTTTTAAAAAAATCCTTTCATTCAAGCTTTCCTTGAGGTGAGGTCATGGACATGTCCATGTAGTTTCCTTGGTCTGTCTTTTTTTCTGGATTTTTTTTTTCCAGACTTCCCAATCTAGTATATAGACCCAGGATTCCCTTGAAGATTACCATCCCAGTAGATACTACACCCAACCCTGCTTAGTTTCTAATCCAAGAGAAGATTAGCCAGGTGCTGACACCAAGTGAGGCTTTTTAAAATGTAGAAATGAGCAAAAAGAAAAAAGAAAATTCAAGAATGTATTTAGATACAAAAAAAAAAGCAACATGTGGGGATTTGTTAATATCTCAACCAATATTCACAGCTCACTTTAGGAAACAAAGATAATAAACAGAATGTACATATTTTAAATAAATTATTCCATAAATAAAGATAATCTAAACAGGACAAAAGTAGTATTTTCCCCACTATCTCTTTCTTCTTCTTCAATCAATCTTCTCTGTTCACTCAAAAACAAAAGATTTCAGAAAAACATATTAGTAGAATATTCTCTAGGAGATATTTCTATATGTTTACCAAGACATCTCCTTTATGAACAAAAGCTTTAGTTCATTGATTAGTGCTAAAAGTTATTTTCATGTAACATTGATTTCAAGATTCCAGTCATTTTTTCACTCTAAACTGCTGGCATTTTGAAATATCAGTTGCATTCTATAGTTGAATTAAATCTGGGAATTCAATTCTTATATGTACAACAACACTGACTGTAACTCCATCATAACTAACCATATAAAAAAGGAAAGCTTTACGTTTTCTAATCACTGAACTGAATCCCTGAGAACCTTTCACTAATCATAAAATATATGATTAGTAAAGGATTGTTGAGAGGGAAATACCGTGTAAAAAGAGCACATGCTTTCACTAATCATAAAATATATAGCAGTTCAAAACCTTGCACTGAGAATTGTTCTTGTTATTACTATCATTACGGTAAACCAAGTGAGAATTGCTCTGTTGACATTTCATAAATAGCAGTAGCCATCATTGTTAAATTAAAAGTCTTGCTTGGGAATGGAGAACCTTCTCTTGGCCCAGTTTCCAGAAGCAATTCCATTTCCAGTCGGCTTCTGGATGCATCCAGTCAGGCCCTAAAAAAGCTAAATGCTTTTTCAACTATAGAACCCAATAAACAGGGAGGAAAACGGGTATTTTTTTTTTTAAAACCAAGCAAGTCTGGAAGAGTTTACATCACTTTAGATGCAGTTGGCTACCAGCCAAAGACAGGTGTTGACAGAGATTCCCTCCTCCTTTTCAAAGAGCTGCTTTCCCTACATTTCAGGTCACTCCAATTCTAGGTCGTTTGTAAAAAGCTAATATCTGTATGCAATTATCAGCATGTGCTCTTTTTACACGGTATTTCCCTCTCAGCAATCCTTTACTGATCCCCCACACCACCAAACTGGTGTATCCACTTTAGGGTTCAGGTTAATTCTCCCTGCATCTCAGGAAGCAAAATGCGGTCCATGAAAACTCATTGCTTCAGCCTCGACCTGTGAGATCTTCGCTCGGTAGGCGAGGGGGAGAAGTCCTTCCCCCAAACTTTCCAACGGCGACTCTCAGGCTGTCACCGTCGTAATCTTACCTTCGAGCCTTTCTATGGGGAAGGGTCGCGCGTGCGCGGCGTGGCCACCTTCTGCCCAACCGACTTGGGGGGAGGAGACCCCTTACCTTCGGCTGCTTAAAGCCGCGTGGCCTTGAGGTTGCAGAAAGTTTAGAGCGGGGCCGTGGCCCCTCTTGCACGGCCTCCTGAGGGCCGGGTGGTTTCTGCTGTAACTAGAGGTCCTCCAGAAGCAAGCCGGAGGAGTCGGGTTACCGCTGACGCGCAGGAAGGCCAGAAAAAGGGCTGCTTTTACTCACCGCTACTGGGGAAGGACTCCATTTTCCTTCTGTGAGGCGAGCCAAAGCACGAATTGGGAGGAAAAGACAAACACGTCCGAAACCAAAACAAACAGAAAGCAGAACCCGCCGCGGCTCCTCCTCACGCCTTGGCCTGCTCCTCCTCCTCCTCCCGCAGCTGCATGTTACCGAGGAGGACGCGGGTGCCGGCCCTGAGGTCGCAGAGAGGCTTCATGCAGTCTCAGTCGCCGCTGCCAACAGAATAACAAGCCCTATGACGGGAGCAGGAGGACGGCCCCGGGGGGGGGGGGGGGACCGCTGATCCGCTGCCCAGTCGGCTCGCTTCTCTTCCCAGCCGAACGGCTCTGGCGGCTTGACGCCGAAGCCAGCCTCAGCCCTCAACCATTTTCCGTTTGGGACCGCTGATCCGCTGCCCAGTCGGCTCGCTTCTCTTCCCAGCCGAACGGCTCTGGCGGCTTGACGCCGAAGCCAGCCTCAGCCCTCAACCATTTTCCGTTTGGGACCGCTGATCCGCTGCCCAGTCGGCTCGCTTCTCTTCCCAGCCGAACGGCTCTGGCGGCTTGACGCCGAAGCCAGCCTCAGCCCTCAACCATTTTCCGTTTCCCAGCTTCTCCAACCCCTCCCCTCCTAGGGATGGGCTGTTTAGCGGCCGCCGAGGCCACCTCCTTTCAACCCTTAGGCACCAGTTGAGGAGGCGCTGGAAGAGCCTACGCCGGTGGCTGCCTCCCGGGGTGGCTGCGCCTGGTCCAGACGACCATGACCCTTGGGCGTTTTTCCTCTGTTATCTAGGACGAACCACGGCCCTCCTTTTTACCGCTTGGAATCCCCGCTCGCTAATAATGCTACTGGAATCAAGTCGGACTGCGGTCTGAAGCCGACTGGTAAATCTCATTACAGCCAGGGAGGCTTAATTTAAGTTAGGGCTTAGGCCCGAATAGTTTAATATGAACATGTTTAACAGACACATCTTTTTCCGTTACGTGTATCGTGTTTTATGATTTTTGCTGCCTCTCCCCTCTTTCTGACTCTTGACTTCAAAGGCAGCAGAATCGCCATAAAGGTGCAACATCTCAGACCAAATAATAGGTGGTAATAAGTCATAAACAGATCGATGGCAAAAGATTTGTTTCTTGTTGGTTTTTAGCAGTGCTCTGGTGTCTCGAAGCTGTGTAAGTAAAATACAGCAGGAAAAAAGTTTTTTTCTTGGAATATGGATAAATAACAAACTGTCACCCTGCTAACTTTTTTCACACTTGCTGAGACTCAAGAATCTGCCAGGAAAGAGGGAGTCTTATCAATTGTTTTAGTTTAGTTCTCAGACTTGCTCTTTGTTTACAGATAAATCTGAAAGTGATCTGGTCCTGAAATTATTCTTTTTACAATTGTAATTTGTTATTAAATTGTAGCCTTATGGTACTGAAAAGGCTCAAAATTAGTAATGTGAACCTGCTTAAATTAGCTGTCTAAATTCTCAATTATAGTTCTTAGTTAAAATCTCCTTAGATGTATAGTGTCTATAGACATTAACCTTCAGCTCTTCTTGTAATTTAACCCATATTTTTACTATCCTCTTGGAGTACTAGGAAACTCACAGCATCAACCAAAATGAGGAAATAAAAAACAGCATTATAGCAGCAATAAGTAGTTCTGTCTATTTCCAGATAGATAGATAGAGCTCCCTCCCAAAAGGAAGGTCTTCACCAGTTTCAGGAAGGGTGTTAGTGCGGCAGTGGGACAAAATTCTCTGAAGCAAGTTTCAGAATCAAGCCATAGCCACCAAGTAGCCCCTATCTGTAGTCCAGCCAGATGGATTTTGGAGGTTGTGGGATACACAAAAGGGGGTCACATGCTTATTATATGCAGTTCCTGCTAATAGCTATAGCATTCTGGATCAATTATTTCCAAAGACTCTTCAAAGGGAGTAACTAAGTTGAGCACATTGCAGTTATTGGATATACCTAATGTCCTTTGGGCCGGATCAGCATCTAATGCCATTGATGTTACTAGGATAGTCTTGGTGTCAATCTGACTCTCTTCTGCTGATGTATATGTTTTCAGAAGAGATAGAGAGAACAACAGTAACCCAGTTATTTGCCTATGTAGTATCTTAGTAATCTGTCCTTTTGACTAACTATATTTGTTATAGGCAATGAAAAATTCACAACAATGAAGTGATGCTTCCCTGGTATATTTCTTTCCCTTCTTCCTGGTTTGTATTTTGTGAGCAAGTTAAATTCATTCTACTATAATGGGTGTAGAAAATCACAAAATGCCCATTTAACTAGAAAACAAACTAATGAAGTTTACCACTCTCTGGCATCACAGGATATTCTTTGCTATTTCAGTTTATTGCTACCGCTGAACCTGCCACTGCCCCTTCTTTTCCTCTTCCTCTTTCTCTACTTCTCTGGACATGGAGATGCAGCCACCCACTTTTTTATTCTTTCTAAACTAATATGATATTCAAAAGAAACTAGACAACCTGTGACCCATTGGGTCATAGTTTCAGAGGTATTTCCTTACCTAAACAGAGAAACAGAATGACCAAGGGCAAAAAAGCAGCAGGAGTGATTTCCAACTTGCTGCCAGCGTCTCCATTGGCAGGGAGCATCAGAAACCCTCCCTCCCTTCCTTACCATAAGGAAAACAGTACCCCTACTCCCCATTCTGGCATGTCCCCAAGAGCCCCCTCCCTTGAGGGAGGAAGAGGGCTCACCCATCAATCACTGGCGCCCCCCAGCCAGCCCTAACTTGCCAGCAGGCATCCAGGTCACTCCCTCATCCTTCCCTCAACACCCACAGCCATAAAGAGATTTCAGATTTCTGCCTCATTTCCAAAGCAGCCAATCGCCACTCGCCCATCAGGCCTTGTCGCCAGCCGATTGAGTGAAAGGGACAGAAGGAGGCAGGAAAGAGGTCAGGGATACGCCCATGACGATCATGTGACCTGGGCTGACCATGACGGCACAGCAGCACAGCAATGCTGAAGCGGCCACAAATTTCCCAAATTTCAATCCCACAGGAGTAATGGGTCCCAGATCTTGGATGCAAGTTAGCCCATTTGAGGTACCTTGGTTCAAAAATTGTTGCCATATGATGTACTGTTTCGCCCAGTTGAAGGTTACCAACACAAGAGTTTTAGTAATATATAGGTTATGCAATGTGGGACTGGACATTTTCCATCAGCAGGAAAACTCCAAAACCAGAACAGAATATGACCAAATTTGGTGTTGGGGGAGAAACCAGCAAGACAGATAGTGTTAAAAAATGTGTGAGACCTGGCCAGGGCCTGTGAAGAAAAAAGTCCAGAAAAAGTTTCCTGTAGTTTTTCAAATGGGAGAGGGAATTAGGCTTTCAACTGGGATGGTGCTGACATTCTAAACCCCTCCCTCTTAGTCATGTGACCCAGAGCAAAGAGGATGCAGCCTTCCCAGTGACCACATACATAAACAGATGCAGTATGCAAGCACTCACCCTGATTAGATGATCTTTGTGTGTGTGTGTGCATCTCACACACACAGCACATGCACCATGATTAGAGCCCCCACACACAGTTTATTTATTTATTTATTTAGAATGATAAGGCTGCTCTACTCAACACTGATCTGGGAGGCATATAGGTTAAAAATAGATGCTATACTTAAAAACAAAAAGTAAACAATAGTAAACAAAACGGGAAAACATATATACCATTGGTTCTCAACAGGGGCAGTACTGCCCCCCGGGGGGCGGTGGGAGGATGCTGAGGGGCGGTGAACTTGTTTGGGGCGGTAGGGGGGCGGTGGGCATGTTTTGGGCGGTAGAGGGGCGATGAGCATGTTTTGGCCGGTAGAGGGGCGACG